GTGTGGTCGCGTGGTACCCTAATACCCTCAAAACACGAGTGGAATATATATATATCTAATTCTATGTGATTTGCTTAACAAAAAGCTAGTCAATTTCAAAAGACTTGCGTGTCTAATTTGCATAAAAGCATTTCTATACCATCTCGCACATTTGTAAAACCATTAATAAAGTAATCTTCAACGTAAACTTTATTTTGTGTAGAATTTTTAAAGTGAAAAAAAAAAAATTATTTATGAAAATTATCAAATCGTTTTCATTAATTAAATTTTAAGGGAACGTATTCGCTCAACAGCACCCACGTCATGGTAAATGAATAGGCCGTCCATAATTCACGGAGCCCACGCGTCTCGCAGGACGCGTCCGAGTTTCGCTCCCTTTGCGGTCCCGTGTGGACACACTAGCGCGACACGTCCGCGGTTAGAAGCTTTTAATATTAAACCCCCGCTACGAAGCGTGTTTCGGGCGATACCGGCGCGCCATTCACGTCGGGCAGCGTATAAAATAATGTATGCGAACACGTTTTCGAATGCTTTAAACGTGACAATGGTTATTTCGAAATGCGAAATAATTCTCCACGCCGCCGGTCGGCCGCCGAAACGCGGTGCTTGTATTTTTTTTGTTCTCGTCAGGCAGATATGTCCGTATTTAATAGGGCAAATATTGAAGTTCCACACTTGATGAATATTTTATTATGCTTCTGGCGACCCGATTGGCGTAGTGGATGCGGATCTACCATCCGGGTAGATCCGCACTGTTGGAAAATATTATGTGATGAATATAGTGCTTTACTAGTATATTATGTGATGAATATAGTGCTTTACTAGTTAGTATCTTGGTGTTTATATATGTAACACGTATTTATTTTGGAAAAAAGTGTTTATCAGTCACTTAGTATCCACAGTACAAGCTTTGCTATGTTTGGGACTAGCCAATGTTGCGTAGATATGTCCCGATATATTAATTATTATTTATTACTTATACTCCGAGTTTTTATTTATTTTTTTATACTACTATGGTACGAATTAGGCCACGCAGCATCTTCTGCTGTTGAACAGATGTTATGTTCCACATATCTGGTTACTTAGACAACCGTGGGCTACTATTTTAAACTGAACTTCAGGTGAAACACCTGCTCGTTTGCCACGTCGTGTAAAAAAATGGAAGAACAAAGTATAAGGTACTGGCGCAACTGTTTGTGTAACACGTGCATTTTATCTCATGCTCAGATCTTACCCGCTTCCCGGTGTGCAATGGTTGTTAACGATATATCACGTAGACCGTAGTTTGTATGCGTATTGTAGCCATCATTATTTTAGCTTCTTTTCACATTAATAACAGTAATAAAAAGTTATAACAAATTGTCAAGAGATTAGATTCCACATCAGAACATGTTAGACAACATTATTAATTGTATTACGGACAATACTCGTTATATATTCATAAATGTATTAACTTGTACGTCGTTCTTTAACACGTAAACAATGTTTCTGTCAGGTAAATTATTCCTTCAGTTCGCTCCGTAGGTTAAACCTTAACTGACAGCGCTTGTTAGGTACTATTAGTACTACAGCCAGTATTTGCATCACAAAGGCTTCGACGGACAGGCTTAGTCGAGTGTTAGTTTTCAGAAGGCGCAACGCGTTACCCCGTACGATTCTTAAGTGAATTAGACGGTTTGAAAGCCGAATTAGTGGAAATTGATGATAGGGTGGATATAAATTAAGTCATCGTTATCGAGTTAGACTTGAATCTCTATACTAGAATTTTCTTCTGGATGCAAGTCGTTGTAATAATGTTAGTTGCTGGCAGTTTGCCAGAAGTAAGCGGCCTCACTCACCAGACGAAACGCAGAAGTTTAATACTTTCACTTCACGCCGGTCTTCTGTGAGGGTGTGGTTCTTACCCGGACGGACCTGCCCATTTGTGCAACAGCGAAGACTGCTGCTTGGTCCTACCACACTAAACGTGTTAAACGAATAGATTATGCTGACTGCTCCACGGTCGGAAATAAGCCAACCTTTCCCGGTGATGGTGGTGGCTGCCGGGAAAACCTACGAAGCGTCTAGTCAACAAAAGAAAACAGTCTCAATTAGTGTTTCGACAGTATACCACAACTTGTAGATGCACCAACGATTATATATACGTTATTGAAGATGGAAAAACGCAGAGGGTCCGGCTGATTCGAATAGATTACTGCTATATATAGGTCCTCATAACATATATTATGAGGTTGTGTTTACCATGTACTAAAGAGGTGAGTCCCGTAATCACCAGGAAGTTATAGTTATAAATACTACTACTTTACCCCAAACTTCGTATGTGCCTCGGGCTAAGTGTCTAAAAGAGCCTACGTACATCTATGTATCCCTAATATATATAAACTATGTATAACGATGTGCATCGCAAAATTAGTTGGGCTAGGTGGAAATATACACGCACAAACTGCAAAAATAACGTTATCACTAAATCTGTTAAGGTTAACTCTCGCATAAAACATAATACGTTAATCCGTCCTTGTCAGGCGAACAGGTGTATTAACCTGTGCACAACAATTGCGCTCAAAATTGATTTTATTTAGCGAACGCGAAATTGTTGCCCGTTGTACATTTTAAATCAATTTGCCGCGTTGAATTTTACTTTTATCGCGGACTATCCCAATGAGCGTGGACAACGGACAATGCTTTCAATTAATCGAATGTTACGATTGATGAATTCGCGAATTTTTCAAAAGTCATTTTCGAACAGTTTACTTTTTTGTGTTCGCAATGTCATGGTGTTCGTTAAAATATAAAATTTTGTTGTAGGTAATTCATATCGTAATCATATAGGTAATTTCATATATTTATGACATTATTATTCTATCTTGACAAACGTAAGAAAAATGAATAATAAATCATCCGCTTCTTTTTGCCTACAATCAGCATTTAAAGGGACGACGGCAGGCTTGTCGTGAGCACGTTTCTAAAAGGTTTTTAAAATCTCGATGAAATGGAGAGAATAGTGCGATCCAAAAGTTGCGACTGCTTGTATTTTTTTAATGAAGGAACAATACCCGTTTCCATAGATCGAAGAGCCATTCAATTTCCATCAATGAACTCCGAGGCATGAGAAACGAGATCAATTTAAATAAGAAGAAATCGCATGAAATCGCATGAAAGCGGATATTTTTTTAGGCCCGGCGGGCTAAATCAGACAGAGGTCAAATTTCTACGTCAATCCCATAAGTTGTATAAAAATATGATTGTATTTACGGAGGTATCCTTCGCGAGGCAACCTCTTACGCGATTGGTCCCACCCCGTTCCTTTATATGCATCAAACGTTTTACGCACCCTCGTCAGACGTAGTGAGAAGATTTGGACCCTCTTTAGTCAAATGTCGATATCCCAAATAAATATATCGGGCATTAGCATCTCTCTATAATTGTCCAACGGACGGTTCGGGCGCTGATAAAGAAAAATTTCGCGTATTAAATTTGACAAAAATTATCGCGTTTTTCATTTGCGCGTATTCCGAGTAACGGGGCAATATAGAGGCAATATTTTTATGGCTTCTATGTATGTTCGAGTATGCCTCCATTTACTCGATTTATTGGTAGTTGTAAAGAAAAATTCAGACACAGAAAAATAGTGAAGTATTCATACTATAATATTCGTGTTTCTTTGTTTCCATCAAGGGTTGGCAGGACATGTAATCCGGTGTTTTGTGTCTTCATATTCGTGGGCGACGGCAATCATTTACGATCAGCTGAACCGAAGTTTTCCAAATTCTTTAACAAAAAAGACAAATATAACAGAAAAACAAAAAATTTGAGTGTGTAATGCGTAGATAATTTTATATTTAAACAAATTGAATGATTAACAAATTAAGTGATCACTGAAATGCGCGGCATCTGTAATCACTCTGGAATTACCAATGATATTTTAATTAGAATTAGTTTTTTCTGGAACATTGCTATGGTTATAAGCAACCCAAGGGATTCTGGGCTATTTTCCTAAGCATCACACGACCACCGTTGATCTGTATACATCATACTTATATATAAGTCTGTATAATTTCGAAATGATCCCAATCATAATCCACTTTGACGGTGGATATACAGAATGCACCGGCGTTCGTCAGCTATTTTAACTCGGCATTCAACGGTGCGTCGCTGACGTGTGTCACAAAAGCGTCGTCCCAAAATAGACACACTTCATTAAGTACGTTTCACGGAGAGCGTAGCGAGTCGGCGCGCGATAGTTCCAAACCACGTTCATTGTGTGGTAGCCGGTCGAAGTCGAGTAAGCTTACTTTGGATGCGTGTTTTTATTCTGTTCCTACTTTGTAGTTCTTGAATTACGACTGTTGCGTGGAGCTGATCGCAACTGGGCAGATTCCAAAGTTCCAAAAGCACTTGGGTGCCGCAAAGGTATTTAAAAATGCTTTGCCACATTACAAAAAATCGCTGTTATCGGCGCACGACTGCTGCGAATCGTACTTTATCTGCCCCGACGGTCCTTTCTGCCACGGAACTAATTGCCTCCGACGCACAAAAGTAGCTCCGACCACACCTTTCATGCCTCCACCCGAGACTGATTTATTTTCCCGATGTCAACGTGAACAAATAGATCTTCAGCGGAGTGAAGGATGATCTGCCACAGAGACAATGACGCTGAAATTGTTTATTGTCCGGCAAAGAAATACGTTAAACAGAAGTATCAAAAGGATCGTGACGGCTAACGTATATAAGGCGCCGCGTCAGTACGATTTTCAACAAATGGATACTTATAGACTTGCTAATGGCGAAAGTTTCTGAGCGTATTCCACTAAAGGTATTCAAATTTACGATCTAAACGCAAACTTCCCGACCACTAAGCCTAAATTGAATATAATGCTTTTGTACATATGACGCGATATATCATACCAACCTCGAGATACTCTATAAAGAGATTTCGTTACGTGAAAAACGAGCTGATATAAATGCGACAGCCCCGAAGGATAAACTACAGACTGAATAAAATGCGACAGCGTTCGAATGAGGACATACTTCAAACGGGTCACACTTGGTCTCCCGACACTAGCCACGTCACGTCGAATACGCTAAATTCAGCCAAGGTGCAGGAGTATCGCGGCCAGCTAAGACAAAGGAGCGAGCTAAGCGGAGTAGGTAAGCCATAATCTATTAAGAAATATCGGGGGCTGGGAGAGGAGGGCACGGAGGGGGTAGGGGGTGTCCCAGCCCGCGACTAATTGGCGGCGAACAAAGGATCCGGCACAAAGCTGGATGCGGCCCTAATGGAGCCGAAGACATCTTTGTACGGCTCACAGTGGATCCGGGATATAGTGGATGCGTCGCTTAGCGCGATAGTAAATCGGCGGCCCACTGCACGCCTCCTCAGCCCCGGGACGGCGTCATTAGGACACCCGCCGGTGTTAAGTGCCTAACGAGGCGTTACAGTGCACTGAAACTCGAAGTAGATCCGTGTTGAAGAGACCTTTTAGAAAACTAGAGATTTTTATTTCCTTAAGTTATAATAAGTGGGAAAGGAATAACAAGAGATGCACAGCTTCGCTGAGTAATAATAGACTAGAAATAACAGTAGCAAGGAGTAAGGACAATCTAACTTTTTATCAGTCTATACTGATTTACTCGATTTATTGGTAGTTTTAAAGAAAAATCCAGAAACATAGACGAATAGTGAAGTATTTATTACTATACTATTCGTGTTTTTTGTTTCCATCAAGCGTTGGCAGGATATGTAATCCGGCAGGATGTGTTATTATACTGTCATACTATTGTATAACAGTATAATAGTATGTTATAATATTGTGTTACACTATTGTTATACTATTATAACGTTTACAGATTCTGATTTATTGTTGCAATATTGATTTTTTTTTTGGGCTGGATGAGCCACTATTGGCCTTAGGGGCCTTTACAGATCCGACGGACTTGAGGTGGCCGGGCGCTCGAGGCGCCTAGCCTAAACCTCAGCGTATTATTATTACGCGTTATGGTAACTAAGCTTGAGGGCTCCCGAGGGAACCTCGGCTCGGGCTGTCACGCTATTATTTTCACCGGTTTGGGAGGCCGCCAAGCTCTTAGGGCGCTTTGGCGGGCGCTCCATGGAGTGATCAGGCTCAATGGTTGACATTTGAACATTGAACCTCGGCTCGATCGGTAGCTGTTATCTGACTGGGGGAATTGATTTGAACGGGTCATTAAGAATACAACCTTCAAGACAGTTAAACATTTCGTCGCTAACTTCACACCGTGATGAAGGAGACTACGTGAAAGTAAAGAAGAAAGCACTATCAAACTTTACATTAATAAGCAATACTTTTTAGTCTTTAGATATATTGGGTCAAATAAAAAATGCGTTTAACCTAAACAACTGGCGGAAAACGGACAATCGCGGAGCGATCTTGTCACGATATAAATCAAATCGGTTTCAGCCGATGGAGAGAGCTTCAAGTGGCCGGTACTTGGGCCTGTCCAATTGAATAGGATTCGCAATCGGCCTATAAATATACGGCACTAATGCGCGTCAGACGGAAATATGGTTGATAGCTAGGTGGTCATAGAATCAAAGGAAGGAGATCAGAATCTATGTATTGTAACGACCTATTAATAATAATAAATATTATTATTAATTAGTCATAATAAAGATCAATTAAGATGAAAATAAAACGTTTAAGAACGTTTAGTCACAATAAAAGTTAATAATATATACTTAAATTAAAGAAATACAAGTGTTAGTATGAGAAAATGATATTACCAAAAATTGATTAAAAATAGTTAAAAATCACTTAAAATACTCAAAAAAGGATATTTATTAAAAATATATAGCAAGATACGATCACTATTATGTCAATTAAATACAATTCCATACTTAGTGATTTCTAAGGGAAGTATTATGTACCGTGCGGGGACACATTTGTATGATCGCACATATGTAAGTACAGAGGTCGATCGCGACTCTTAGTACTATAGTCAAGGTACATTGTATGAACGTCCCATACCAATATCATATGGAAGTAAGGTCTAATGAATAAAAGTGATAATATGTGAAGGCTCAGAGAAAAAATAATAAATATATAAATATAATATGAAGAGCAATGAATGACTTGGGACTTTATAAGACATATTACTATGGAGTTGCGTGGTACTTCTGTACGACGATATGGTCTACGGTAAACGTGGAACCATGAATGGATATGTCTTCAGTGGTGGACATATCATCGATAGCTGGTGGTAGTTGGCGTCTTAGTGACCACCATCACTATGATACGTTAGCTGTCATTCGGCATAGTAAGAGTTTGGTGGTAGTTGGCGTCTTAGTGTGTTGCACTATGATACGTCGACTGATCATCTGACTTTGGGGAGTCTGGTGGTGGCTTGCGTCTTAGTGTATTCCACTATGATACGTTGGCTATTACTTGGCTTGGGTGGGGGTCCGTTGGTGGTTGGCGTCTTAGCGTTTACGCTATGATACGTCGACTATCATTCGGATCGTGAAAGAGTATGTTTGGACACTTCGTGTGTTCCGAGTATATTCTAAACTTTGGAGCTGAAGTTGATTGGAGTTGTATTGGTGTGGTGTGAGGGTGTGCCACCTACGCGATAGTCACATTGATGCATGCGGCTATATGCAGTACTGCGTCTTGTGGTATTTGCGGGGTGATCTGCGCCTAATATCATTGCATCGTACGAGTCTGGTTGACGGAGGTTCGAGGTGATGATGTCTGCTGTGTATGCGGATAGGCTGTATGTTGGCGTGTTGACCTGCGATAGTTGTATTGATGCATGTTGCATTTGGTGACATTGCGTCTTGCGACATTTGCTTGGGAGACGACGCTATTCATAATGGCCGAGTCTGCGTCTCGGTTTGATGCACATCTCAGTAGATTTGTCCAAGTCGGGTTCCTGATGACGGAACTGCAGACTGTCTGACCTCTTTATACGTTTTATCATTATTAACGAATCTCAGTAAAGTTCCCACCGTTCGAACGAATAATGGCAACTTGCTGGTGGGTGAGAGACAAACTTGATCGAAAATACACTATACTCAACGTCAGAGACACTGACAAATAAATATATGTTGCCAATTATAAACCCTTCTGATGGCTAAACATAAAAATCACAACTATGGCTATATCTGACTATTTCAATGGTTGGTGGAGCATATGCGTTTACCTCATGTGGATGGTAGCTGGCGGGAGAAAACCTCTCAAGGCTGCGGCGATGCCGTGCAACGTTTTAACCATACCCTTGGGCTACGCGCTCTGCGACGAAATGTCGTGCTAACCTTTTTAATGGTGGTGATGCCAAAACACTAACAATCACGTCTGCAGTCGCGGCGATCTGGCAAAAGTGGTGGCGCTTACGGAGGGCTTATTATATCATAGGGCCAGAGTGCCTGATCTTTAACACATGCCCAAAACCGTATTGACGTACATTCACGAAGACTGGATTTGTCGTCGGCTTGTATGACGTTTACACGCATTGACATGCGCGACTTCGGTCAAAGTTTGTGCTTACGCACTGCCAAGGGGCCAAGCCCTCTTTATGCTGGTAAAACAGCTTTGCAATGGACTTCGGTCCTTTCCCCAACTTTTTGTCCCTCTTCTGGGGGGGGGGGGCGCAATATGTTGGTTGGCGCTCACCGCACACGGCGTTGGTGAGTGTTTTCATGGAGCCGTGTGCCTTCCCTACATTTTTTTAAAATGTGGGGGAGCTGTTGACTTGTATCGGGTATGTAAAATTGATGTGAGCCCTTTTCAAGAGAGAAGGGATATTAGTTTAAAAATTATATTGTGAGCCCTTTACAAGCGTGAGAGGGAGTATACTATATACTCTGAGCCCGTCTCAAGCGAGTCGGGATTAGTTAATAAGAAAGCAATCTAACATTATCTCTGGCTTATACCACAACTAGTGAATATTTATTTATCCAAGATCCACCTAAAAGAATCAAGTTACTAAATAAACACAACGTAAATGAGGTCCTACCGAATATGACGATCACAATAATATTTATACGGCTAATTATTACCTTTAGAAAGATCCTATAGAAAGATCAATAATTTATCCTGGTCACGTAATGATGTTATATGATTTATTCGTATAATGGGGGCAGAAATATATAATTTTATACAATTATATATGCATGAAGGGGGGTGCGAGTTACAGTATGTATAGACACTATTCAGATATTCCGAGACAAAAGCGTTCTTGGCGCACTTTTAAAATATTGGTTTGGTATTGGCGTTCGTTTTACGAAATGAGAAAGTAATATAAATAATGATATAGCTTATACATGTGGAGAAAGTGTTCTATTTATAACAAAAAGGACAAATAAAAGTAAAAGGATAAATAAAAGGACAAATAAGTTAATAATCTCTAGGTACGTACGCTTATTCACAATAAGCATAGGTATGAAAACTAAGTGTGTATGAATATTGAATAATAGTATTTGAAGTTAATAAATTTCCATATAAATTACATGTAAAATTTATATTTATATACGGTAACATCTATCCATACTTATAAATGAATAAATAAAACAAATAAAACAGCGATTAACGATTGATTAAGTTCGATGGGTTTTGAAACATGCAACACAAGTAGATGTGGATTCAGCTCTCCGTACAGACACGGAATTGCGGCCATTCGTTAGAGTTGGCCGAAGTTTGCTTCTTCATTACAAAGCCGCCTCGGGCCGGAATGTAAACGACCGCAGGTGCGCTCATGGCCCATTCTATCGCCGCATCCGAATATCTTTGAGGCATCGCCGCTCGGAGATTCTGAGAGAATTCCACTCGCCTTACTCATCGTTAGGACCGTTCAATGTGTCGGTGTCCTGTCGGTGTCCAATTGATTGCAAAGAACAGCCTCAATATCGCAAATCGAAATAGAAATATATTCTGATTGTTAAGGACTAATTTTCAAATATTGCTCAGAGACCTAATCATTACAATGTTCGATATCGATCAGATGTTTTACTCTTTATGTTATTTCTCATAGGTGTTTTTTATCGTACGCAATATATTTCATAATGCTTAATCATATAACATGATTAAGAATTATAGAAGTGTACGTGTCAGAAGAGACGTTAGGACCACTGGTGTCTGTAGTCGGTGGCTCGTTTGCACCGAGTCGTATCCCTCCATGCGGAGGAGATATATAACGATCTTATTAGGTAAATCCCATTTCGTAAAAAAAGACCAGCTTGACACCGCACAGCGAGAATACAACACAATGACTACAAAGTTAATAATATATAAAATATTAACCCAAAGCTAACCTAACTCTATTAGTGTAGAAGGTAGAATAATATTTACACAGAGCACGAACGAACGTCAGAGTCGAATTACACAGGAATGTGAAAAAAAGCTAATTATTCTTTAAATATTCATAAGGTGTTGTCTGGAAGAAACTTCTAGAAGAAACTTCTATTTCTCGTGGCAAATCTATGAATACATTTCATTTGAGATGGCGCTTGTAATTATTAATAAGGTTTCGTTGCGAGCGCTGCATAGCCAGTTGAGAGCAAATAACAAATTGTTGAATTGATATTTTGCATTTATAAAACGTTTCCCACAGAGCTCGTCGGAATGAAGCTGGAACTTTCCCGTCGCGTTTCGAATAATGTTTTCCACTTTTATTATAGGTTATTCGTGACGATATTCATCCAGCAACTCGCAGCTGATTCGTAATGCATATTAATTAGATTGAAGGATATCTTTCATTGTAAACATTCTTGAGTTTGAGGTTGTTTTGGGTTCCGTACCCGAAGGGTAAAACGGGACTCTATTAATAAGACTCCGCTGTCAGTCTGTCACCTGGCTTTATCTCATGAATCGTGATAGCTAGACAGTTGAAATTTTCACAGATTATGTATTTTTTGTTGCCGCTATAACAAACAAGTACTAAAAAACAGATTAAAATAATATTTAAGGGGGCGCCCATACAAAGTACATGTTACGATACGGTACGGAAACATTCGTGCGCGAATTTCAACTCGCACTTTGCCGGTTTTTTTTAAATCATTCACATTTAAATTTCCGGACGTTTTTTAATATTTTATAACGACAGGAACGTTCCGAAAGTTGAAGCGATGCTTGATTCCTCGGAATCCGTTACCAATAACTTCATAATACCAATAGCTAGTGACGAATGGCCTCCCGAAGGAAGTAATCGTATTAGGCGATAATGAATCGCCGGGTCCCGCCTGAACGGTTTCCTCGTAGTTGAATAAAGCGAGTCTATTATTAAATGTTACAGTTTTATAGCGTTTGATTTTTCTTTTAATAACCGTCGTTTGGAACACTTTATGGTTACGCGGCAAACTGATGTGTTTATATTCTAACGTCGCAGTTAATCCGTGTTAATCCGTCAACTTTTTTAAGAGTATATATTGTCCGATCTACGTAAACTGGATGACTGGATATAATCTTATTGATATAGAAAGAAAGAAAATACATTTATTTACTAAAAAAAGGACGCACATAATAAAAGAGAAAGAAAACCTAAAATTAACAAAAAATATAAGAAATAAAAAAAAATACTTATAAATAATTCAGTAAAGCAAAAGAACACAAATACATAATAAAATATAAAACAAATGAAAAAGAACTTTAACAAACCAAAAATATTAGATTACATCGATCGTTATCTTAGTCAACATTTGCCTGATATTTTTTTCTAATAAGTCCCGATTATTTCAGAGCATCCGGCGCGAACGATCGCCGGATATTAAAGCGTCCATCGGCGCGTAAATTAAAAACTCCGGAAGCACGTGTTGTTCTTTTCGTATTCGCGCCGAGCGTTAGGGCGCCCTTTACGGCCGGTCGCCGGTCGCCGGCGCAATTTCTTCATTAGCCGATTCGAAAGCCGCTCGGAGCGGAATCGGCCGTAGATATCTGTAGATATCTGACGTGTTCCCTGCGAGCGGCAATTCGTTAGATTTTCGAAATTAATTTGGTAAGCCGCTGAAATAAGCTCCGCAGGGGGAGGGGCTGCGGAGCCCTTTTTGTTTTTTAATTGGTGAAATATGTATTAGAAAAATCAACCTTTTCATTAACCAGCGTTATAATGACATTTGCCCGCATCTGACGATGCATGAAACTAATGGAAATATGTACTGCTAGAAAAGTTTTTAATTGACGAGCAATACGAAACACCCATCCGTGTATCAAATCCTAGAATATACAAACACACAGACGATACGAATATACAGAATATACAAACTAAACTTTCGAGTAATTAGTCGTAGACTTGGATTATTTATAGTTCATTGGACTATACCAAAAAAAGTTATTAACTTTTTTTTAAAACCTTGACCAATCGTGGCTTGACCATCGCTCTACCTGATGATTTAGTGATCTAGTCGGATTTTTAAATGTGAATACTGTATGATTTCGCTCGAATTACTTTATAAAAATCGTGAATTCAGTTCGAAATATATTATTTGAATTTCGAACACGACTTACATTTTTAAAAAACATACGATGACATAAATATCAATATTGATATTTATGTCATCGTAACGGAGCGGAGCGTGGATGACATAAAACAATTTCGCGGCCCGCGCCGTTAGAGACGCGAGGGCGGACGGCGCATTACGGGCGGGAATTTTAGACGCTCAAAATGGCGTCCGCCGCGGTGGCGTGAACTATGAAATTTTATGCATTACCCATCTCCCGCCGCCGGCTGTCTGACGCAGGCAGGGGAGACGGCAGTGTCATAATGGTTTGCACCCGCAGAGCCGCTCGGCATCGTTGTATTTCGGCGCGCATTTATGACAGTCGCATCCAAAGTTCCGCAAATCGATTCGACCCCACATTTCGGGCGGCGGAAATGCTATTCTACCGAGCCTTACGATGACGCTTCTCACTTGGTATTTAGGATCGAAAGTGCGAACATTATCAGAAATCTAAGGAATAGTGTTACGATTACAATATGAGGAGTACTTTTCTCTGGTTGAACAATAGCACTTAAAAACGAATTACTTCGTAGTTATTCAAATTAGTTAATCGTATTTAAATTTAAATTGTTTTGCATGTAACTGATTTGTATTTTCATTGTGCATTATGCATGAATACGTAATAACTTATTCCGCGAAGTCGATGAAACGTTTTAATCGTGAAGTGTAATTTTGAAGCTACTATAAGCTTAAATTTGCGAGTACATAATATCAATATCCAAAGAATTCAAGAAAACGTATCTAAAAAATATCAGTCAAATATGTCACCGATATTCGATATATCTAAGATACTCGTATGTTAATAATGTTTTGAATATATATATATATATATATATATATATATATATATGTAGTAAAATATAATTGTCGATTCATATGTAGGTATAGTTCAGTCGTCGAATAGTCGGCAAAAGTAATAACGAGTCAAGTTTATATTAAATGTCTGTTACGACTATGTTACACGCTGATAAATATAAATATACACTTATGTCTGTAACGTCAAAGTAATAAAACTCGAATGGATGATAGGTACGTTTTGAATAAGTGGAGTCAACGTTTATGTGTCTAGACATTTTCACATTTAACATAAATAAGTTAGTAATGAAATAATTTGACGGCCGAGTTTTCGGCTGAGTTTCCGAACTTAAGAACTAGATGCGATTCCGAGCTTCGGTTTTGCGAGACTTGCATCGCGCTCAGAGACTAACTAGCACTTATCTCGCCTTCAACGCTTTCATTTGCTAAGTCCTTACGAATCAACTTATAAATACGAATCAACTTGACACTTAAATGAATTTGGTTGGTATGCGTTAATAGACATTAACTTCCCATCACAATATCCTAACCACCAGCGCCATTCATCGTCCACAGATTATTTATTAATTGTACGATGTAAATATTATGTGTATACCGCAGCTCTCTACTTATCCAATGGTTTTATATAAGCTTATGGATTTAACACAATATTTCCACTTCATACAGAACTCAACGCAAATGTATTTAAGATTGTATTGCCAACCTAACAGGCTGCGAACCTGGTATTTAGTGATTATTGTGTTTATTTATTGACGACCTGAATGGCGTAGTGGTTAGTGTTCCTGCCTCCTGCGCCAGGAGGGTGTGGGTTCGATCCCCACTACTGGAAAAATATTGTGTGATGAACATAGTGTTTTTCTAGTGTCTGGGTGTTTATATATCTATAATATGTATTTATTTACAAAAGAAAAGTATGTTTAAGTATGTTTATCAGTTTTCTAGTACCCATAGTACAAGCGTTGTTAAGTTTAGGACTAGAAAATATTGTGTAAAAATGTATCCTAAAAATATTTATTTTATTTATTTTTATTTATTATCCAATACCACCAGCTAAGAGGTTACCGATGCGTTGCCAACGTTTCTAAGCTGTGGGCGGCCGTTACCTCATAACGAGAAGTTTAACTTAACACTTAACAGATGAAACGCATATGTAAAACACTTCTACTTCACGTTGGTGTCGTGAAGCCGTGGTACTTCCCCGGACAAGCCTGCCCATTCGTGCAACAGCAGAAGGTTTTGGGTGGCCCTACAACAACCCTACTTTATCCTCAGTCTGACTGCAGATAAATTATGGTCGGTGGATAGAATGGCTATCGTAGTTTATACCGTTAGGCTCAAGACACTTGAGGTTCTTTATATTAAGTGCATAATCAATGCTTAGAAACTTTACACAACTTTAGAGCCGTGATAGAGCACAGTTCGAGCGCTCGCTTTTAATCAAATATACTCGTACTGGAGCAACAGAGTTCAGTCCCCGGTGCCGGCACCAATGAAATTGTTAATTTTAATTGCTAAATTATCAGTGTAGTGGTCAGCAGTGGATGGAGACATCGTGAGGAAACCTTCATATTTACGAAGTAACAAGTCTGCCAATCCGCAATGGGGTCGTGGTGTTCGTGATCGTCGTGGGTAGACTAGAGAACCTAATACTCTCTGTACAGAAGAGGCATTTTCCCAGCGAGGGTGACGTATATAGGCTTTGTTACTTTTCTTGACTATTTTTAACTTTTTTACACTGTGCAATTATCTACGCCTTAGTAATTCGCACTGCATAACGCTCACTTCATTTATTAATTCCATAACGGGACTCTGCGGTATTATGGTGATGCAGAGTAATAAGAGAGGGTGTCGATACGGGCTCCCGCCCCCGCCGATATTGCGTCGCTCCGCTGGAAAAATGTTATTTTATTAAAAACCATCGGCGCAGGTGAGATCCCGTGGGGTTAGCTTTCGGTCTACTCCAAATTACAGAATACTTAACGTTCGTGTCGCTGCATGAAAACCGTTAACGTTAACGTTCTACGTTTTAAAGATGGTCTCCCTTTGTTATCATTAAAATTAAAGCATTATTCCCACTGCAGTTATCTTGTGTTGCAAGGGATAGTGTCCGTGTACTGACGCTAGCTTTTAATTCAATGTACTCGGGCAACCTGAGTTCAAATATCGGCGCGAGTGCCAATGAAATTGTGTATTTTAAGTGCTGATTTATCACGTGCCCAGCTCTGATCTAACATCCCTTACATCCTTCGTACGCCTTTACCCAGCAGTGGGACATGTTGCAAGCTGTCACTTTACTACAGTACTTTTTGGAAGAATGTGGCAAACGAGAATGCGATTGATCTGACGCCGAGTGATTATCGTCACTTAACTCTGGTAGGGCCACGCAACAGTTTTCGCTGGTGCACGAATGGGCAGGTCCGTCCGGTTAAGTACTACAACCTTACAAAAAACCGACATGAAGTAAAAGTATTGTACTTCGGCGTTTCGCCTGGTGAGTGAAGCAGCCGAGGCCAACTTTATTAAAAGGTGGCAGCGCATCTGCGACTTATGTTGCAAATACGAATGGGCCGCGGTTGCCACTTGACATCAGGTGAGCCGCCAGCTCGTTTACCACCTTCTCACATAAAAAAAATCATTTCACCTAAACGCTTGTTTCGTAACAGTTGCGCTACTAAACTTTAAAGAGGGTAAGCTATAGAAGGATTCCTGAGGCCGGTTCTCCTCGAGGCCGGGAACTTCTCCGGACTAGCCTACGAATATCGCAAGTTACTTCCGTAGAGTAGAGAAAGAGTCGGAATATTCATGTTACACCATCTTCTTTGGCTCTTTTCCTTTTTTTTTCACTGCCCTTACTTTAGGATAACATTATATTGTGTTGTAAGGACGTATTACAGACATAAATTTCACGTGGATAAACATCCAGATGCGAAACAACTATTGGTGGGTCGCACAAATAGTTGTCCCGTGTGGGAATCGAACCCACGACCACCGACGCCGAAGCCAATACCTTGGCAACTGCGCCACAGAGTCATCAATTCGTATACGCTACATAGTCTCTATTTCTTGGGCTCTATTTATATCTGTTCGCGGTCATTAGCTTAGATATCATTCCATCGGATAGTCGTTCGAAAGAAATTATCTCCGAAAAACGTCTGCGGAATCGGAGCTATTGTGTGAACTTCGTTGTGAGGCTATCAATACTTTCGCTTTACAATGGCCCTATTCCACAAGGCATCAACGCCACCAAAGAACCTTTCAAAGCGTATAGATTCATTCCAAATTCTTTGCCGAGCTTTCCTTGATATTGCAGAGTTACGGCGCAAGTTTCGATTTATATTTTGAAAGATCTGAATTTGTATTGGTAAGGCGTAAGTGCCAAAGTAGCACCTTAATACAGTTAAAATCTACTTGGGTATAAGAACGGTTGAATTAAGCATGTCGATGAGGTTTAATACGAATTTTCTGTCCATTAATATCCCCATTTGTCTGAGTAACTAATATAATGTTATAATGTTTTATAAGGATTTTACGCATTATATGCATTATAACATGAACAATATGAACTTATATATCTATCGCTTTAGTAGGAAAAACTACAGATTGGCAAATTGGTGATTGCACATTTTGGTGTGATAATAAAATAATGTCTAATATTAGACCATGACATTGATTTTTTGGATCTTAAACAAGATTTAACAAAAAGATACAGGAAATATATTATGATAATTTTATAGCGTTAGACATTCAGATATCCGATAACGGGGCTCATAAAAAGTAGTTTTCTTTTAGTATAATCATTTATACTCAACTGCAACGCGCGTTCAAATGTCTGTTAATAAACGGTGGACGTCTCAAAGCACGTAGAGTCATGACTCTGATTATGACTCTGTTTATAAACATTTAAATAAAATATAAATATAAACAAATAAAAAACAAGAAATATAAAAAGAATAGACGCAAAACAAAACAAAAACGCGGCTATTCGAACAGTGTAATGCAACTTTTAGTGGCAAAATTCAAATGGCGAAATAAAATATGGCCGCTAAACCTGCTGCGCAGCAACATTCGAGTCGATATCGATAACTCACGCGTTACGTCACTATAAATCAACTAGACCTTCGCAGATAGTGATGCCCACGTACACTAACTAGATAGTCGATAAATATTCAAATCTTGCACAGTCCGTTTGCGAGACATACAGCGAAAGACGGTTTCCGACATCCATTTTTGTATGCGAACAAAATACGTGCTTTATATACAGTACCTGGAGGACGGGTTTTTGAAGTAAAACTTCTTTGGGCGCGACTAGGGAGTAACTCAGATTTTTTCTGACGGAAGTCAACGTCATATACTTAATATGTCATATTTTTAAAATATGATATATACTTATGACGTTACTAAATATTTAATCATTTCAGTGATATATGCCGTTCAACGCCAAAGAAGTTTTACTTCAATCGCGCGTAAAGGTTACACGCATACACTTTTTTTTTGTAA